GTTTCACGGCTCTTACTCAATTGCACAACAACAATGGCGTAGTGAGTCGTGTGTAAGTGTACATGGCAATTCTGAAACGTTACTTAAACTTGTCTACAAATGTGTTCCATCATGGATGCCAATCTTCCAGAACTGAATGCTTATTTTGAACGAAAGAAGTTAAGCAGCTGCTTTCCACTGCATGATGTTTAACGATGTTATTACCCCATAACAATGGCCAAAAAAATTATCAAGTGCTCGAAGAACTTTGCCACAGGAAACTATCTACTGTGCACAGTACAAATATCGAGTTGTAAGACCACGAATACTGAATTGAACCCTGGGTCTAACTAAATACTGAGTAACAATGTACTTAGAACGTGTGACTGGCTAGTGATTATTCATTTAGATAATTTTTATGATCCTAGATTAATTTGTTAATATAAAAGTGTGTAAAATGAAGATTTGATGGCAGTGTTTGGCATTTGTGAACACGTCAACGGACTTAACGTTCCGTGAAAAGCGTTTATATCCTTTGTGTGACGTTCGTCATTCATTCTAGGACGATACCTTAAAATGGCCGCGATCTAATCATCACCTTTATCATTTTACGAGACGTTAGGACGACCTCATTGGTCGCTTAGTATCACTGATTAACCAGGGTCATTCATTCAAATATGGCAACAATGTGAAACAAGTCACTGACCCAGTGGTGCCAACGATTCGTTGTAGTCTAAAGATATGATTGAGTAGGTTACTTGTGAATCCGCAGCGAGCCGCCACTAAAGTTGGTTATTGCACTTGTGTGAGTAATAATAGTCAGCTCACTCGCCTGTGGTTCGTGTCCGGAAGTAAGAAAATGAAAGCATTCAGAACCATAATCAAAAGCGGACTAATAATGCTGAGTAGCTGGCAGGTGACGTAGCAATAACATTCTATTTCACCAACCGACGCGCGGCGTGACGTCACATACACAGTGCTACGTGATCTCTGTCATGTTTGCCATTCAATTCGCAAATTACCCCACCCAACCCCTCCCTCCACCGGCACATGAGTGTTGTGGCCTTGATACACTTTGTTGCTGTGCGTGTCTTATGTGTTATATCAGATCTCTGGGTGAATTATTGCGACAAAGCCTGTTACTATAACCTCAAATGTATCGCGGGGCCAGTTCCGAGTCTTATTACCACGGACCTAGAGAGCGGCGCCCACAAGATATTCGTGTTTGTATGTTCGTGGTTCTTTTTAATAGGTGTCGCCATGTTATTGCATTTATTAACTATAAGATTACTTATTTACACGATGATATGCGTTTTTTTTTCACAACGTTTATAAAATGGCGGATACATGTGTTCATTTGTTTTACAGAAGAAACTGCTCATCTGTTCTAGATTCATTTTGGTGTCGATAATAAACATTTTAAATTATCTGACTGATCTTATTTTGGGCCTGTGTTGGTACAACGACAATACTTTCATGAAAATAGAATTACAAAATCGGTTTAACGCGAATTGGAATGTGATATAAAATACAGATCCCACAAATATCTACAACTTTTATGTAAATTATTCTTCGACAAATATGGCAAAATATTATTTGTTTTAACAGTGTTATCTAGAATCCTTTGAGGATCGCATATAGAAACCAAAGATGTGACTTTATTAAAATAGAATGAAGACGCTGTTAATATCACAACCCACCAAGTTCGAAGTTTCTCCCAAACTATTCACGTACTTAACTCTTTTTTGGTTCGAATAATTTACTTTGCATTCTGAAACGCGAAGTAATAGAAGGGTTATTCAACCTTTCTAAAACGAGAGATATTTTCGCTTTGTATATCATAGTTTTAAGAGTCTGGTAGTTAAGATAATTTAATAATTTTGGAACTGAGGGAAAACTACTGATTAAAAATTTAATTCTCTTGATTTAATTTTAACCCTAATTTGTATTTGTTAGGCTAAATTAAATGTTGATATAATATTACTGAATTACGTTATATATATTTAATCTATGTTATAACTCTTTTATTTTGGTTTGAAATGGTTAACGTATTGAGTTTTCTGTACATTCATTTTCAGATCAATTTATCTGTTGATCTGTTGGAAAATTTCACCATTTTGTTACCCCCCCCCAAAAAAAAAATTAACATCAATGATATAAACAACCCGGAAGACCATACATTGAACTCTCACTGCCGGGAAAATATTAAATCTCGAATTTTTTTTGGGGTATTCTGAATCCAATTATACTATCTGAATCACAGGCAATCTACAAAGAACAGACGTACTGATTCGTATTTACATTTTCTCTAATATCTAATGTCGAATGCTAAGCGAAACCATCAACAGGTTAATTAACATTTCTTGTCAGTATCAGCAGTAATGATCATCAATGATTTCATCGCGAATAACGTGTTTTATCAAGTTACCCAATTACAAAGTCAAAATGCCTGTGATAATGACCTAGTAAGCCTTATGAGAAAATTTTCTTTCGACGTTTCAGTAACATATCATAAAAGGGACATTTTTATTTTACCTTAAAACGGAGACAAAGCCTTAGAAACGTATGACGTATTTCTGTGTGAAGACAATTGACGACATCCGAGGACAATCTCTTCGGTTACGCAACTGTTCAATTTGTCTTACCTTTGTAACACTCGTCGTCTTGAAGTGACGTCGCTGATATCATGTAGAGCTTATTCAAAATAATTAACGTCTGTTACATAAACACGACATTTTATTACTGCAGACATCGAAACGTCAAAGAATATAAAATATGACTCAAATCACGAACTGCCTACACTGAAATGAATCCAATACGAAATATTCCACAATACCGGTACCTAGAAGTTGAGGGGGGGAGGTAGGGGGTAGCTAATTGTGGGTGTGTTCTGTTTCCAACCACAAACATAACCTAGCTCATCCCCTGATTAACACTGTGTTTCATAAATAGCTTCATCTCTGAAATATAATTTGTTGTTCCCATCTCAAAACAGGGCTTAATTTTATCGATACTAAGAATTGTATAAACAAATTTCTAGTTAATTCTATAAAATTTCTGTCTGCATCATCTGCTTTAACATTCAATAAATCTGCATTTACGTTTTTCATATGACTCTCAGAATAAATTTTTATCTAATCAGAGTTAAGCAACTGACCTTTAAAATGGAGACGGATTTTTTTTTAACTGAGTTTGTTCATTCAGAGGGTTAAAATGAAATCCCCCGGACACGTCGCGAGAGTGTTTGCAGGAGATTTGGATATTAAAGTAATCGAACGAAGGAGATTACATGTAGCATGCATAGGAGAGATGAGCTTCATAGAGAAAGTTGGTCGGATAATTTCAAAGACTTTGACATGGAAGGATAATATCAAATGGATATTAAACAAAAATGGCGTGGAGTGGATTCACCAGGTTCACGATTAACAAATCTGTGTGACTACTTTGCGCCTTGAGTAAAATTATTCCGTGGATTCTAATAATTTTAGCTAAAGTTACAATAAAAAAGAAATCTAACTAGAAAGTAGATGAAATTTCAGGTTTTCACGGCGATGTATATGAAGATGTCTTCTGGTGTGTTGCACCATGTTGTCTGAAAGAAACTAACAGGCGTTTCGGAGGTCCTTGGTGCTTCCATCATCATGGATAGAAAACACCTTAAAATACGAAAATGTTTCGTAAACCCCTCCATTTTCGTGGTTGTTAACCTCGTGTTCTGTAGCCTTATGAGTCGGAACTCAAAGGCTCGATCGACCTGTCTGGCAGAGTTCCCCGCCAAGAACGCACTTGGAGCTCAACTGCCAGAAGATATTTGAAGTGCAAGTCTTATTAATGACGCAAACAGGTACAGATATAATAAAGCCACTGAATTGAACGGCACCTGTTCCAAGCCATGGACGAATTCCTTTGCATCCAACTCAATGTTTTGGTTTAATTAAGAAACAACCTCCGTGTAGTAGCCTTCCTTGACATCTGGTTAAAAATCCCCTGCCTTATATGGAATCCCAAGGTTCAATGCCGTGTTAACAGAAGACTCTTAGCGAATCACATTCTAGGCCAGTCTAATCCGCCCAAGCCTCCCACGTGGTCTATTTTCCTGAAGTTGTCCGATTAAACTTTCGTATTTTAAAATTATCCTCCCATATACGTCTATGTACAGCCACGGTGGTCTATAACGCTGGCCTTGTAATCCTGGGGTCTCGGGTTCGATTCCCGGCGGTGCCCGAATTTATAACTTGTGTTGGGCAAGGCCGTGGTCTAGGCAACACGGAGTTTTCCTCCGGGGGCTTCCACGGTTTCAATTACTCCATTCACACACAGAAGAAGGCAATGGCAAACCACTTCTGGATCATCTGCCAAGAACGTATATGAACAGGTCCCAGTCCGAGAAAAGGAGGGAAGGATCCTGTTCATATGGACCTGCCCTCAGACAGACCATTCACACACAGAAGAAGGGAATGGCAAACCACTTCTGGATCATCTGCCAAGAACGTATATGAACAGGTCCCAGTCCGAGAAAAGGATGGAAGGATCCTGTTCATATGGACCTGTCGTCAGGGGAGAAAAGAATCGTCTATGTATTAGAAGTATTTTCTCTTCTGCGGTTCTGAAGTACTCTGATGTTTTGTAGACGAATTTAACCTTCTGTAGTTTTGGAGTATCTGCTTGAATGTTCTGCACGTGATTCTCGTCTTCTACAGAAACCGGTTCCGGGGGTTCCATATCCTTATTAACAAACCCATCCTTATTGTAAGGATGTTATAAGACTGCGACTCTGTTGAGTTGGGACACTGACGGGTTCATTTTCGATATTCCAAGCCCATTTCATATAAATTAAATATTTATTTAAAATGGTACGAGGAAGTTAGATGAGGTCATTCGTTAAAGACGTGAAAAACAAGTCACTCGAATTGGAGTCACACCGAAATTGACGGTGTCATTGGAATTACTGAAATGAAATTTGAAATTAACAATTCCAAGTCAGGTGACTGTTTTTCCACAGATCATTTATATCATACAGATGGGATGTAGTCGTTTAATAACACGCTTTCTGTTATTGTTCTTTACTACGTGAGTCATTTTATTACTTCCTATAATTAATTATTTGGAAAAAAAAAAAATAACCTACTTTAATCTAAATGCAACAATAATTTCACGTTCTTTTCACTACATCTAATAGGTTTCGCGACATTTAATCTGACACATTCCCGAGCGCTTCTCCCACTACGTGGCGTTACGTGTGACACTGTGATACGTGGCAGATAGACCACAGCTTTGTCCTTTCAATTTCTGCCACGTCTTAAGAATCGGATTACAACAACACGAATGTCTATATTTGGTCGATCGCGAAACGATTCATGAGTAATCGATACTGTCTGGCAGCGTTGTCTATGGTCTATCTGCCTGTCTACGTGACAGCTATACGGCCGAAATATTTAAACCACTGACTAAGTCTCATATAACAGCCATATCAGTCTTCAGATTGCTTACAGTCTAAAATTGTTCTGATTTTCCATTTGTTATGGAAAGTGTGTCTAGATGGTGAAACTATTGACATTTCTTCAGAGTCTGGGTGAATTATACAGACTGTGAGAAAGTCAAGGTAACTTTGTGTTCAAATACTGTTATAACCGTGAGAAAAAGCAGTTCGGCTCGTTCTTCAGGCAGGCAGCACATCACAATACTAATAATGTTGCCACAACTCTTATGGCAGTGTCAAAGAGAGACGATTTTGATTCCATGAACGAACAATAAATAAGTTTCAATAAATAGTTGTGATGTCTCGCTAGCCAAACACTGTCCCTTATGTACACTATGTACAAACAAAAATTAAGTAAGTGCGACTTCGCAAAATATATAAAAAAAAAAATAACGTCCCTTCCACGTCATAAATAGTGACTTAAGTATGAAGTTTGGGCGAGGAACAGTCATTTTCCTGTGTCTGATGTCGTCGAAGTGCTTGAGGAAGACAGGTGAACGCTGTCCTCTGTTGTAAGCGACGATAACCGAGCAGCGGCGACTGCTGAAGCCGACGACGACGACGACGACGAAGACAGTGCCACCGATGAAGCTGCCAACGCAGTCGAGGACAAGGGCGTCGAATATGGCGATGTGGTCGACGCGGTAGAGTTCATCGTCTTTGTCGCTGCAGGCGATTCGGACTGCGTTGTCATGGTATACTCGCCCACCCCATCAGTTCGTGTTCTATCACTGCTAAAGTCTTTTGCTACTTCACCGTCACTAACGAATTTATTTTTATTCCTTCCGTCTTTCTGTATTTTCTTATTTTTCTTATTATCGTCTCTGAGCTTTTTATCGCCGTTTCTAGACTTCCGCCTCCTCTTCGCAGCTTCTAACCTCTTTTGGCACTCCTCCTCTCCCTCGCCCTGCTGGCACTTCTTCTTCTTCTTCTTCTTCCTCTTTTTTCGTCTCCTGCATCGTAACTTGTCTCTGCCCGCGTCGTCAGTACCGTCTTCCTGCTCGTTGTTCATCTGCAGACTGCTGGCTTGCACCTGAGGACAAAGGTGGTGGTAGCCGTGGTGCCTCAGCGGATGCTGTGCCATCGAGAGGTCTCCCCTGAGCGACCTGGAGCCGCTCTGTAGCGACTCCCGCACGCGGAGGATCCTCTCCGCGAGATTCTTCACGCGGTCATCTTCCACGTGTTTAATCACGACCATCGCGTAGCTGAAGAGCTTTCCCAGAGGAGCCTTCTTCGGCACCTGTACCTTCCGGGACTGACCTCGCTTACTCAGGGCGATGTACAGAGTCCGCCTGTCGTTGGAATACTTGCTGGACGAGTATGTGATATACGAATGCACGAATGTCTCGTTGAAGACGCAGTCCCCGGTGGAGTTCCTCTGAAACAAATAAAAAAATACCTATGTACCGAAGATGTTCAAAGTTTTCACTACAACAACAATTTCTTAAATTACAAGAAGCTAACCGCGAACATTCTTATCATAAAAGGGGCGTTACATTTAAATTAAAAGAGACATCGCGGGTGTGTACAAAGACTTTACTGAGACAAGAGGGGTAACGTAAGAGTAGCACCAACCCCTTCTTAATTTTCATGATAAAATGTAAAGTTTAAGTGAAAATTTACTGAAAACTTGCCATTAAAAGTGTTTCAATCTGAAGTGATGGAAAGCGAAAACTTTTTGCTGAAACTGTGACCAATTCGTAGGTGAAGTAATTGGCCAATCCTTTTCTATCTCAAGCTGTATGTTATTAACATAACAATTACGACTACAATGAGAGACAAACACTTCACTTCTGAACACGAGGACCTCCGATCTCATCCAGCAGTTTGGGTATCTTATTTTCGGAGCGGGGAAAAGATATTGTAATATCAAAAATGACCTGCAATATGAACTGCAGGCGGCCAGTAGCAATAGTTCCTCACTGACGTCAGGAACAGAGGTCATATCGTTGGCACGCTGTAACAACTTTTGTTATTTTCCAATAAGACAGCCAGCCGCCCTTCAAACTACAGCTGATTACGAACGTGGAGGCCACGATATGCGAATATCAATGACAGTGTTTCACAAACAAGTTCATTAAGGCTTTGGCCGGGATGTTCTTTTGTTAAATCTTATGTGGTACCGCCTGATTCGACTTCTAATGGTTAAGTGAAGTGTTTTCTTCGCGGTACGGTCTGGATTCGTAAATATTATGAAGACGAGCTTCGGCTTCAAAGGGTTAACCAGCTGATTTTCGTAATGGTGAGGTGTAGTGTTTTCTTCGCGGTACGGACTGAATTCATAAATGATATTCAGACGATCTTCGGCTTCAAAGGGTTAATGACGTAATAGAACTACAAAATATTCTTATCAGACAACAAATTTTAATATAAATCGATGAAAAAGATTTTCACGAAATGCTTCAGACAAAAACCTAAATCCATTTACCACTTAAATCTGGATAAAAATAACTTATTTCTAGGTAAGAGGTCATACTTCATTTATAACCCTACAGTGGTAAATAAATGAAACTTCTTGGTTAACATTTAATAATACCGCGTTTTGTCGACAGTGTTTTATTGGTTTCGTTTGATTCTCGGAATAAACAGATTATTTTCCTTAAACAGCATTCTACGAGTAATTTACCTTTGTAATGGGCGAGTGTTGTGTTTTCTGTGAGGTAAGAACTGATTCGGCTTCAAAGAATTAATCGAATCAAGAAACTGCATATTTTTGTGGAGCTCCCAAGTTCATGATCGTACCCACAAAAGCCTGAACTCTGTCCTGAGACTATTCAACACAGTTCACATGTTAATTGCTTTAAGATCCATTTTAATAATTTTTGTGTCTCAAAAACAGAATCTTCCCACGACGTTTTCTAACCAAAATTATTCGTTCCACATACATAATCCGTATCATGACATTTGATTACAAAAAGAGTGTTAATTGTTAAACTTGGACAATTTTCTTTTCAATTATAAATACTCTACCAGTTTTATAATCTCAAACACCCGGAATAAAATCCAAAGTTCTTCCCTCACAGTAAAACCGCGATTCTTACCAAAAACTATTAACGTTTACTCCAACATTCTCATACGAAGCTCAATTGAAATGGGTTAGTATGAAAACATTCCCGTTCGTAGTCATCGGCGGTAGGGACTGGGAGTTTGATAATCAGCACGAGAGTAAACATTCCTTCTAATCCCATGGGGCAGAGTCCTTCCCGAGAAGCTAAGGCAAACTAGGTAATAATTTGTTTACTTTACAAAACGAAATGTTCATTACCGTTAATTTCCGCTGTTTATTCATGCAAGAATAAAGCAATTTCATGCACACGTAACAATTCATAACTGTTTAGAACCGCATTCAAAAATGCCAACTCAGTTCAAAGCCCTGAGTATGATTTTGCTGTGAGAAACTTCGTCTCGCGCAAAACGAACCTGTTCGTAACTTTATTCACATGATCCAGTGGTAATATTTCTAATTTTACACAACATGACGCCACAATTCAAAATATTGCGCTTCGTAATTTAACCAGAAGGACGCAGACACAGCCTTTTGAGAGCCCTAGTATGTCTCCTTCCAGGGGCATTCTAAACACAACGAGAAGAATGAAAACTGATATTAATCTACACTATTACAAAGTACAAATTTGTAGAGTTCTGTGCGAAGAATATTGCGCCTGTTTGAATAGCCTCAATGAGTGTGTGACAATAAAAGATGGCAGCTTCAGTGTGTTCGAAGAAAACACAGTGGAGAGCTTCTTTTGTAGTTCTGACGGTAAAGGATACAAGAAGAAGGAGAAGGAGGAGAAGAAGAAGGACGAGCAGGAGACGAATGAGAAGAAGGGGAGAAGAATGATGAGAAGAAGGAGGAGGAGGAGACGAGTGAGAAGAAGGAGAGAAGAATGATGAGAAGAAGGAGACTAAAAAGGAGGAGAAAAAGAAGAAAAAGAAGGAGGAGACGAATGAGAAGAAGGGGAGAAGAATGATGAGAAGAAGGAGGAGGAGACGAATGAGAAGAAGGGGAGAAGAATGATGAGAAGGAGGAGAAGAAGAAGGAGGAGACGAATGAGAAGAAGAAGGAGGAGAAGAAGAAGAATAAAAAGGAGGAACAGAAGAAGGAGGAGAAGAATGAGAAGAAGGGGAGAAGAATGATGAGAAGAAGGAGGAGGAGGAGATGAATGAGAAGAAGGGGAGAATGATGAGAAGAAGGAGGAGGAGGAGACGAATGAGAAGAATGATGAGAAGGAGAATAAAAAAGGAGGAGAATAAGAAGAAAAAGAAGGAAACGAAGAATGAGAAGAAGGGGAGAAGAATGATGAGAAGGAGAATAAAAAAGGAGGAGAATAAGAAAAAAAAGAAGGAGGAGAAGAAGAAGGAAAAGAAGAATGAGAAGAAGGGGAGAAGAATGATGAGAAGAAGGAGGAGGAGGAGACGAGTGAGAAGAAGGAGAGAAGAATGATGAGAAGAAGGAGACTAAAAAGGAGGAGAAAAAGAAGAAAAAGAAGGAGGAGACGAATGAGAAGAAGGGGAGAAGAATGACAAGAAGGAGGAGGAGAAGAAGAAAAAGAAGGAGGAGAAGAAGGAGGAGAAGAATGAGAATAAGGGGAGAAGAATGATGAGAAGAAGGAGGAGGAGACGAATGAGAAGAAGGGGAGAAGAATGACAAGAAGGAGGAGGAGAAGAAGAAAAAGAAGGAGGAGAAGAAGGAGGAGAAGAATGAGAATAAGGGGAGAAGAATGATGAGAAGAAGGAGGAGGAGACGAATGAGAAGAAGGGGAGAAGAAGGAGAATAAAAAAGGAGGAGAAGAAGAAGAATAAAAAAGGAGGAGAAGAAGAAGAAACCTGACCGTGAAAGTATGACAAACATGGCTGTTGGTGCTGAGAAACTAAAAATAAAATAAAATGGTAGGATTAAATGCCGATGTCGATACGAGCCACCGACTTCTGGACAGAGGCATTTAGTTTGCGTTCTGTGGATGTCCGAAAATTTTTTAGACAAAGGATTTCTGATCGCATCATGTCGTCTCTGACGTCACTATTTTTATAGCAGATTTATTGAATTTATATTTTTTGTCTGGATAATGTTGAGGACGAGGCGTGAGGAGAATACTTTGATCCGAAAGTAAAGAAATCTGAAAATGAGGAACTTCATAATTTATACTCGTCACCACACAATACTAGAGTTATCAAAATAAGGCAGATAAAGGATGGGGCATGTAGAACGCGTGGAAGCTTTAAAAGTACATGCATGATTTTAGCCGAAAAACTGGAGGGAGGAGACCGATTGAGAAACATAAGCGTGAGGGAATAATACTAAAATGGATCTTAATTAATTAAGATGCGCACTGGATTGAACTGGCTCAAGTAGGGTCTCGCTATAGGCTTTTGTTAGCGGAGTGATGAACATTCGGGTTCCATAAAGGCGGATAATTTACTAATTAATCAAGAACTCTTGTTTTTTACTGAGCTATAATATATGTGCCTGTGTCTTTGCCGTAATGGGGAGGATGTGTCTGTCTGTCCGTACGTGTGTTTTATGTTATATTTAGCGCGCCCCTAAGCGAAATGTGTATGGGTGAGTATTTTTTTTTTGACAAGTCTCTGGGCCCACGTGTGTGTGGAGGGGGGGGGGTGATCGGCTCTGGTGCTTTAGTCGCCAATAGTCACAAAAGTTATCCTTAAATGAATCGAAGATTCCGACGAAAATTGTGTCGACCAAGCGACGTCTCATCGTGGCTCGTGGCTGTGATAATTCGTCTGTGTGTGTTTGTTTCTAGCCAATACCAATAAAAAATTCGATCGCTTTTGAATGCGGTATCGGTTGTTATAAAAAGAGATTCAAAGCAGGAAAGCAATTTTTGAAGTAGCGGTGAGGGACGACAAGGAATTTTGAAGTTCCTGAATAATCCGTGTCTAGAATTCCTAAGAGCCGAGACACGGAGTACTTACATGATGCTGCAAAAGTTTTGGTTTTTGCTGGACCACAGAACTTGTGCGGCAGATTTCAACACAGAGGAATGAAGATCTGACGTGTAGACCACAAAACATGCAAGGAATCTCAATTACTTTTCAACGACCCGATCATATGGGCAGATGTTCAGATTCTGCGTGTGGCCAATCTGTGAAAATACTGTGTACCTGCCCCTTACATTTACGGTAAAGAGTGTATTAAGCCCCAAAATCGGCCACACCCTTCTTCCATATCAGAAATGTCAACATACTGCAGCTCAGAATATATCTCCAGATGTTGAGAGATATAAACGTTCACTTTAAAGGTAGTATATTTGCGTCATATTGTGAATTAGGTTAATATTTTAATATTTTCCGTCAAATCACAATTTTGTAATAAGATAATAAAATATAAACTATTTAAAATATATTTCAATAAACTGC